ACGGCCCTCACAATCCGTGTCCTTACCTTCATCACATCTTCCATCCATCCATTTTCTTTTACCGCTTTTTACCATTCAGGGTTGTGGCGGGGGTGGAGCCAATCCCAGCTGTCATTGGCCGAGAGGCGGGGTTACACCCTGGACTGTTCCATCGAGACATGAGCTAATCAGACCTGGTTTTTTTAAAGATTCATTTGTGGCTTTTTGAGCCTTTAATGGAGAGATAGGACAGTAAATACAGAGAGAGAGAGAGAGAGAGAGAGAGAGAGAGAGAGAGAGAGAGGGAGGGGAATGACATGTGAGAAAGGAGCCACAGGCCAGATTCGAACCCGGGAATCTACAGCCTCCATACATGGGGCGCACACACTAACCACTGCGCCACCAGCGCCCCGCCTGTTTGATTTTGAACCAGGCTGTAAACATGTTCATCTCTGCTGTAAAAACAGGCTTTTTAGAATGGGTGTGTATGTGACTTCCTGTGCTTCTGCAGCCAGCCTCTAGTGGACACTCCAGGAACTGCAGGATGTTACACTTCACACTCTAACACTGGAGGTTGCTGCTTGGTTTACTGAGGTCACAGCACGTTTTAAAAGATGTAATGTGGTGTAATACGTCTGTAATCTAATATAAAACAGATTAATAAATGATTTCCTCTTTAATGCTCCGCAGAGTTTCACTAACAGCTCTAAAGAGTGAGTCGCTGAATAATCTGCTGTTTACACTCAGGATTAGGATTAACCTTCAGAACCTGGATCTGTTTTATTTAGGTCACACACACACACACACACACACACACACACACAAATTTGTACAAATTTCCCCCTCAGCGTTTTACATACCATTAATAAATTGAGTGAACTTTCAACGCCACGAGATGAAAGTGTGTTTACTCAGAACGATCACATGCAAACGTTTAAAGCTCAAATCTGTTTCTTCCAGTCGTCTCCGAAAGGTGAGAGAAGACGCTCTCTTGAATGCATTTCCATTTAAACGACATGTTTGCTTGTCCTCTCATGTTCGTCTTAACGCCGTTTGTTCTCTCTCCGTGTGATTAGCGTCTTCACCGTTAGCGCCAAACTGAACATCAAACAGGAAGCGACCTTAATGAAAACCAAGAATCACTTCACTCTCATTAAAAGCTTCGACTTGTCTTCAGCGCCTCCGCTGTTCATTTCTCCAGGGAGGGTTTAGACCGCTCCACCTGTTTCTTTATCAACATGTGGAGGTGGACGGGCCGCTCACCCTGAGGGTCAGACACATCTCTTAACTTTCCATGAGAAGAGTTCCTGAACTCTCCTGATCGTAATGATCCACCAACGAGTCTTCACCATTTAAATCTCTGACCCACAGACTGATTCAAATGTACCTCTGCTGTTTCTCTGACCTTTTGATGACACCTCATAACATCCTGTAACAGCCAATGAGAGGCTTTGTTGAAGGGTGCCTCCCCCTGTTCTGACGGCCAATCACACGCGGCTGTGGCAATGACCGACATCTCTTGTAGCCAATGAAATTCTCCAAACATGGATCTACTGCATCGTTTTCAGGACTGGAAGGATTCATATAATTTCTACCCAGAGAGGCTCTGAGACAGGAAATCAAATCGATGTTAGACATGAAACACCCCCATAGAGCTGCAGTGGAACGATCCTCCTGCTCGACTGACAGTCGACTGAGGCTCTGACCAACGCCCCGTCGAGTACTCCATTATACAGGGTTAGGGTTAGAGCGTGTAGAAGCTTTTCATAACACCTGGAGAAGAGGAATCTTTCCACCTGCTGATTTGAATTGTCTCTGATTGATTTAAGTCCTGAGATCTGGTCCAGTCTCTAAACTGACAGGGATGAGTCTCCTCTCTGCTTTAATCCTGCAGAAACAAGTAATAATCTCTTGTTTGTAATAATCTTAACCTTCAAACTAATCCCTTCAACATGTGAAAAACCCTGACTGTAAGCTTCCACCTGCATACCTGAACTATTATTCTCTACACCCCCCCCCCCGAGTAAATCCCAAACATCTGAGATGTCATATTATTCCCGATAATCTCTCGTACTGAGCAGAATAAACAGACGCTAATCCATTTAGCGCCCTGATGAACAGCAGAGCTTTAGGTTTGAACACAGAGACGGGATTTGTGTCTGAAAGGGGAACAAAGCGAGAACCTTACACTGCGGATTTACTCAAACTGAAATGTACAGATTTAAGAGCACAGGCTAACTCTCTGAGGATATCGCTGTTCGGCCGGGATGTCGAGGCCATCAAAACGCTGCACGCCGTTCTGTTGTCGTTTCAAGCTGCTGCTTTCTGTCAATGTGGTTCTGCTTTCTCTTGGTTTTGCTCGCCTGTTCCAGGTTCTACAATCTGTGGGCAAGGTTTCAAAAACTGAACGCACAGACTTTGAAATATGTGAGTACGTTTTATAAATCTGTGCGCTCAGTGAGGTCCAGATGGAAACCAGAGAGACAGTTCCCTTAACTTCAGTTAAAGTTTCTTCAAACAATACAGCTTATTGAAGAAACCGGTCAGGACATATTCACCTTGCCCAGTGCCTGACACATCATTTCCACCAGATGACTGGAGCCTGCTCGGTCCGTCTTTACTCCGTCCAATGAGTGTTCTTCCACTGTCTCCGCTGCGTCTCCGCTCCGTCAGTCCTCTGCAGCAGGCTTCTGTTTCTGCAGGATGTCGGAGCACGGAGCATCGAGCGGGACAGGAAGTCAGACACGGAAACAACATTAAAACATCCGGTTTATTTTCAGAATAAAAGACTCAGTTCAGAACGACCCCTAAATGCTTATATAGCACTTTTCTAGTCTCCTAACTACTCAAAGTGCTTTTACACTGCAGGTCACACCTACACACTCACACACTGATGGTAGAGATCTCTGTGTAGTATCATCCATCAGAAGTAACTAATCCCATTCATACACCACCAACGAAGCACGACTCTACCCACTGATCCATGTGTCTGTGTGTGTTTGTTGTTGTGTTAATAAGGATTTTATACAGTTTTAGAACAGGTACATCGTATTATCTGTCATGAGTGAATCTACCTCGGGAACTCCTTTGTCTCTGACTCCGGCTGTGCGGTGCTCTGAGAACGCAGCCTGTGGGTGTTGATGGACGAGGGAGTACGTAGGGGAGCTGACTCACCATGCATGAAGTTCTGGGTAACACTAAAGCTAACAGAGGTATTTTTGTTGATGATGTTTCCTCGTGTCCTTCCTCTTTTCAGAACACTTACACCAATGCAGACAAACTGTTGGAGGCAGCCGAGCAGCTGGCTCAGACCGGAGAGTGCGACCCAGAGGAAATCTACAAGGCCGCCAGACACCTGGAGGTTCGAATCCAGGACTTTGTCCGCCGAGTGGAACACAGGAAGCTGCTGCTTGACATGTCGGTGTCCTTCCACACGCACACCAAAGAGGTCGGTCATCTGAGAGACAAAACTTACACATCCTGCTGCAAACATTTACACAAAATCTCACATTTGTCTCCAGTTTGACGCACAGTTTTCCCCCCTGCCACTGTTACCCTTAATTCATTAAGTACTCCTACTTTAAGATGTAGCAAGGAAACGTTGAGCTAATTGATTGATTTTACCCCCCACCTTGAAATGCCCACCTGTCTCCTTCATTGCCTCTGTGTGTGTGTCCAGCTGTGGTCGTGGATGGAGGAGCTCCAGAAGCAGCTGTTGGACGAGGTGTGCTGTGATTCGGTGGACTCGGTTCAGAGTCTGATCCAACAGTTTCAGCAGCAGCAGACGGCCACGCTGGAGGCAACGCTCAATGTGATTAAAGAGGGCGAGGAATTAATACAGCAGCTCAGGTAACGACTTAAATTCACATGATTATTTATGAGCAGGTGAGAAATGAAAGCAGAGGCTCGGGTAGGGATATAAATATTCATGATGTTATTAAAGATCAGGTCATTAAATGCATCTCCTCACACAGAGATGCAGCCATGTCGACCAACAAGACGCCACACTGCAGTTCCATCGCTCACATCCAGGGGGTGCTGCAGCAGCTGGACGAGGCGCAGGGCCAGATGGAGGAGCTTTTCCACGAACGTAAAATCAAACTGGACATCTTTCTGCAGCTGCGCATATTCGAGCAGTACACGATAGAGGTAAGAGAGCGGGGGGGGGGGGGGGGAGCTGATGTCAGACAGGTGACAGGTTTAATACCTTCCTGCTTTTAACCCTCATGCATCATTATGGAAACATGTTTACAACCCTCTGAAGTCACTAAGGACAAAAATGTCCACTTACAAAAAACTGCTATAAGAATAGAACAGAGTGATATTTTTTTCTACTTTTTTCTGCTTAAATCTCTTAAACAACTTCAGCCCTGCTCAAAACTACCAAACATTCAATCATTTTTAGGAATTTAACCCTTTAAATGCCAGTTTTTACTTGATGTCACTGTTTTTGTGTTATTTTCCATATAACAAATATTTGGTGGCTGGTTCTATTTTTATAGAGTAAATTAAACTGATGCCTGAGGGTTAAAGTGCAGCTCATTATGGAGTACAGCAAGGCTCTGCGCTAGGTCCTCTGCTGTTCTCCGTCGGGGGAAAGTTTGATCAGGGCGGCCCTCATCAATTCATGACCTTCTCCAGGCTGCAGATAAAGCTCATTGCAAACATGCTAATACCCTCTGTTCCTTTTTTTGCAGGTGACAGCGGAGCTGGACGCCTGGAACGAGGACTTGTCTCGCCAGCTGAGCGACACCAGCCGGTCGGGCAGCAGCAGCGGCAGCGGGGGAGGCGGCTCCTCCACCGGTGGCGCGGAGGACATTGGCCTGGCGGAGCAGAGGCTGAAAAGACACGCAGAGAGGAAGGCAGCGATGAACAACATGACCTACGAAGTGATGCAGCAGGGCCAAGACCTGCACCAGTACATCATGGAGGTCCAGGCTTCAGGTAAAACACACAGAACACAAACTCTGAGCAAAACAAAAGTACAGGATAGCAGGAGATTCAGAGAAATACAGGCGGGTAGAGAAGCTTAGAAATGAGCTCCCAGAGATAGTTCCCATTATTCACTTTTATTCTCTTATGGACTGAAGTTCACACCGGATATCATTACCTGCAATTTCCACAAAATCCGAGCTCTGTCTGTCAGCGCCACACACTATGTGGCTGTTCCCTGCAACTCTAGTCAATACTGCTTGCAGCACGCGTCGTATCTGCATGTAAAGAAACCAGACTTAGCCAGGCAGCTGCATTTATTTGCAGCTTCAGGGATGCATGTGCGATCGCCCTTCTCTTCCTGTGCATCCCTCCTGTGGTCGTCTGAGCGTGGCTGAGCAGGCTCACACCTGGATTTACGGCCGCTGACTGTACAGTGAGGGAGCGAGGGGGCGAGCATGGTGTGTGGAACAGTCAGAGAATTAGGTTAAAAAATCGTCACAGCACAATCCTCTTACTGAGTGTGCTGCTGTGGAGGAAGGCACTGCCTCAGTCACTCCGGCCCCCTGGGGTGATAAATCTCTCTCATCCACACACACACACACACACACACACACACACTCTCTCTCTCTCTCTGAATCAGGGCATCAATAGTTAAAGGATGCTTCAGACTGTAGAGACACTCCCTTCTCTTTCAGTCAAACATCTGCAGCTCAAACATGAATTAAACGTTTTATTAACTGAGTGTTCGGCTGCAATCAGTCGAATTATAAACCTGAATATCAAATCAATGCTGGATGATTTCAAAGAAAAGAGACTTTAAGTCTGTTCACAAATCTTCCCCGAGCGAATCCATCGCAGGATTCTTTGTTTTCTTCGTATAATTTTATATAAACTGTTTGTGAAAAACTTTAGAGAAGCAGGAGTGTTCAGTTTGTCTCTGAAGATCCGTGTGTGTGTGTGTGTGTGTGTGTGTGTGTGTGTGTGTGTGTGTGTGTGTCTGTGTGTGTGTGTGTGTGTGTGTGTGTGTGTGTGTGTGTGTGTGTGTGTCTGTGTGTGTGTGTCTCTGTGTGTGTGTGTGTCTCTGTGTGTGTGTGTGTGTGTCTGTGTGTGTGTGTGTGTGTGTGTGTGTGTGTGTCTCTGTGTGTGTGTGTGTCTCTGTGTGTGTGTGTGTGTGTGTGTGTGTCTCTGTGTGTGTGTGTGTGTGTGTGTGTGTCTCTGTGTGTGTGTGTGTGTGTGTGTGTGTGTGTGTGTGTGTCTCTGTGTGTGTGTGTGTGTGTCTCTGTGTGTGTGTGTGTGTGTCTCTGTGTGTGTGTGTGTGTCTCTGTGTGTGTGTGTGTGTGTGTGTGTCTCTGTGTGTGTGTGTGTGTCTCTGTGTGTGTGTGTGTGTGTCTCTGTGTGTGTGTGTCTCTCTGTGTGTGTGTGTGTCTCTCTGTGTGTGTGTGTGTGTGTCTCTGTGTGTGTGTGTGTGTCTCTGTGTGTGTGTGTCTCTCTGTGTGTGTGTGTGTCTCTCTGTGTGTGTGTGTGTGTCTCTGTGTGTGTGTGTGTGTCTCTGTGTGTGTGTGTGTGTCTCTCTGTGTGTGTGTGTGTGTGTCTCTGTGTGTGTGTGTGTGTGTCTCTGTGTGTGTGTGTGTCTCTCTGTGTGTGTGTGTGTGTGTGTGTGTGTGTGTGTGTCTCTGTGTGTGTGTGTACCAGGGATCGAGCTGACGGGGGAGAAGGACATGGACTTGGCCTCTCAGGTTCAGGAGCTGCTGGAGTTCCTCCATGAGAAGCAGCAGGAGGTGGAGCTCAGCGCGCAGCACACACACACTCGCCTGGAGCAGACGCTGCAGCTGCGCCACCTGCAGGCCGAGGTCAAACAGGTAAATGCAAAACGCCAACAAGCACCATGAACTAAAGTGACTTTAAAGAGGAGCAGGTTTTTATTTTGAGCAGAACTGAAGACATCAGAACTGTTCGATGAGGGTGCACGCTCATTACAGGGTTAAAGATTTACATCGTGTTCATGAGACTGTTTTGGATATTTTTGGAGTTAATTATAAAAGAAGTCATAAATCTAATCGAACAATCATCCAAAGCTTTATAAAAAAACCTGCAAACATCAAATTAGTGGATTCACCTTTAAAGCGATCTTAATGCATCTACAGAAAATTTGTTTCATTCCTCGGATCGTGGGCCAGAGGAGACCAGAAACCTGAATCCTTTTAAGGAAATAATTTGGTGCTTTAATGAGCCGAGGTGGATGAGCTCCTATTATTAGAAACAGAAAATAGCTGAAAATGAGTCGACTCTGGAGAAATGAGAAGAACAACACACGGCTGTGAAAGCAGAGATGTTTAGTGTTTGTTGTGAAGAAGCTTCAGCAGCTGAGAGGATGCTGTTTGTTAAGACAGGAAGCATGCTGCTGCTGCTGCTGCTGCAGATGGATACGACTGAATAATGTATGAGATTTGATGCAATGTGCTAAACACACACACACACACACACACACACACCTCTACTGTAGCACTCTCCTCTGTCTTTATACAAAAGAGTAACAAGATTCAACTGGTAGACAGACTTGAACTTCTAGTAGTTCTTTTATCTTATTTTGTGTTTATTTGCTCATATTGTGTGTTGATAACCTCCTGCTGTAACGCCACAATTTCCCAGTTTGGGATCAATATAGTCATTCTATTCTATTCTATTCTATTCTATTCTATTCTATTCTATATTCTATCTGAAAAGCTTTTTCACACCGCGAGTCACACGCACACATTCACACGCTGATGGTAGAGGCTGCTGAGTAAAGAGTCCATCAGTATTAACTCATCCATTCACACACTGATGGTAGAGGCTGCTGAGTAAAGAGTCTGTCAGTATTAACTCATCCATTCATACACTGATGGTAGAGGCTGCTGAGTAAAGAGTCCGTCAGTATTAACTCATCCATTCATACACTGATGGTAGAGGCTGCTGAGTAAAGAGTCCGTCAGTATTAACTCATCCATTCACACACTGATGGTAGAGGCTGCTGAGTAAAGAGTCTGTCAGTATTAACTCATCCATTCATACACTGATGGTAGAGGCTGCTGAGTAAAGAGTCCGTCAGTATTAACTCATCCATTCACACACTGATGGTAGAGGCTGCTGAGTAAAGAGTCCATCAGTATTAACTCATCCATTCACACACTGATGGTAGAGGCTGCTGAGTAAAGAGTCCGTCAGTATTAACTCATCCATTCACACACTGATGGTAGAGGCTGCTGAGTAAAGAGTCTGTCAGTATTAACTCATCCATTCATACACTGATGGTAGAGGCTGCTGAGTAAAGAGTCCGTCAGTATTAACTCATCCAT